GATGGCCTTTCTCAGTGTTGCTTCCAAATCAAACCAGCTGTGGCCAGGGCTCATGATACACGTAGTCTCAGGGCCTAGAAGAAGGGGAGCAAGGCTGACACATACCCCTGAAAGTATGTGTTTCCAGGCCTTGGAAATGCCTAGCACACAGTGAGTGCTTAATGGGTCTTAGCTATTGTTGCTATTATTGTTGACACCCTGTAATCTTTAGCTACCATATATTTGATCATGCCGTGAAGTGTCACTGAAATGACATCCTTTCCCTTCTCGAATGAAAATTACATTTATTTGTAAAACATTTATTTCATACTTGATAAGAGTCAAACAATATTCTTGGTAATGGTGATACAGTAGAGAACAAAGTCCCTGGCTTCACGGAACTTATATTCTAATGAGGACTGGAAATGCATAGAGTTACTGAACTCATAATCCATGAATTCATATAACTTGAGGTGACAAGAAGTTCCCTAAGAAACAAAGTAGTTTGAGAGGATAATAATGATATTGGAGGAAGAAGGAGAACAAGGGCTAAAAGCAGAGTAGGAAACAATGGCCTATGAACTGTAATAAGTTTGATTATTTTTTCAGAATGATGCAAACCCATTAAAAGGTTTTGAATAGATCAGGCTGAATGTTTTATTCAGAGTAACTGTAGTAGAACAAGATAGAAAGCAAGGAGATGAGACAGAAGGCTACTACAGTCATCCAGGGCAAATGGTGCCAGCAGTAGGGAAAATATTGAAGAATGATCAGATCTAGGATTTATGTTATGTTTTATTTTGAAATGTTTCAAGCATGTAAGTGTAAAGAGTAATATATTGGTATATTATTCCTTTCAGTTTCCAGACCTGTCACATCCTAACAGTTTGCCATATTTACTTCAGTTTTCTTTTTTTTTTTTAAGGTTTTTGCCATGGGGTGCATGTGCTTGCCAGAGATAGACAAAGAGAGACAGTGTGAGAAGGAAAGTAAGAAATCACACCATAGGAGGATGGCCTCACTACAATACTTTTTCCTTCATTCTCCTGGGATTTTGGGGGCACACACACACACACACACACGCACGGGCACACACATCCAGCATTTTTTTTTTTTTTGGAGAGGTTTTCACTGTAGGGCGCGTGCGCTCGCCAGACAGACAGAGAGAGACAGAGAGACAGAAAGCGAGAAATACCCCCCCCGGGGGGGGGGAAATGGCCATGCCGCAATCCCTTCTCTTCCATTCTCCTCTTGGGATCATGGGCACGCACGCATACGGGCCTGGCGTGAGTTTAAGCCACCAGCGCCAGGACGCGAACCGCGGTCGACCATGTGGGAATCCAGCGACATAGCCATTACACTAACTGCTGGTCCCATCTAGCATGATTTTTAAGCCACCACATTCAGGACTCAAACCATGGTTTGCCATATGGGAGTCTAGCACCATAACCACTATGCCACCTGCTGGCCCACAGATTATTTTAAGAATTATTTATTTAATTTTGTTTATTATCATCATTATTATTATTTTATTATTTTTTAGAGCAATTTTTGCTATGGGGGCGTGTGTGCTCACCAGAGAGACAAAGAGAGACAGAGAGACAGAAAGCAAGAAATCACTGTCCCGGCAGAATGGCTATGCCGCAATCCCTTCTCCTCCATTCTCCTCTTGAGATCATGGGCACATATGCACACATGCCCGGCGTGAGTTTTAAGCCACTGTGTCCAGGAGCAGAACTGCAGTCAACTATGTGGCAGTCCAGCGACATAACCATTACGCCATTTGCTGGGCCCATTATTATTATTTTTTAAAATTTGACCAGAAAGCAACAGAGAGAGAGGGAAAGTGAGAAAGGAAGCTCAGGTCCAGGACTCAAATTTCAGTTGGCCCTGGGAGAATCCAGTGCCACCACGCCATCTGCTGATCCTCTCAAATCTTTTTTTCAAAAAGAAAAATTATAGATACAGTGAAACCCCCCAGAAAAGCCCTTTCAGGTCCTATATCCTTCCCCTCAAAAGTACCCACTGTCTTAGTTTTAATGTTCATCATTCACATGTGTACTAATTTTGATCATATGCATATATCCATAAGTAAAATGCATTTACGTTTTTTGAAAAATTTATATAAATGATAGATAATTTTTCCAACTTAATTTTTTCATTTAACATTTTTTAGATATATCCATGATTTTATTTATGTTTCTAGTTTATATATTTTTTCTTACTTTATACATAACATTCTTTTGCAGGACTATATCACAATGTATATACCCACTCTCTTGCTGATGGTTTAGTTTTTTTTTTAATTAAAAAAAAATACTTATTGGGACCAACAGTTGGCGTAATGGCTATGTCGCTGGACTCTCATGTAGTCAATCACGTTCAAGTCCCAGACCCCAGTGGCTTAAGCTCATGCTGGGCGCATGTGCATGTGTGCCCAAGATCCAGAGAGGAGAATGGAGGAGAAGGGATTGCGGAGTGGCCATCCCCCCTGGGGAGTGATTTCTCACTTTCTGTCTTTCTGTCTCTCTCTGTCTTTCTGGTGAGCACATGCTCCCTATAGCAAAGCACTCTCCAGAAAAAAAAATTATTTATTTAATTTTATTTATTATTACTGTTTTTAAATTTACATGTGTGGTCACCAGAGGGAGACACACACACACACACACACACACACACACACACACACACACACACACAGAGACAGAGAGAGAAAGCAAGCCGCCAGGTCCAAGACCCAAGTCCAAAGCCCCAACCACCATACTCTTGCTGACCCTGAATTCAGTTGTTTTCACTTTCTCACTATTTCACAGCAATGCAGTAAGTACCCTTGTACATATTTTCTTTTAAACATTTTATTAGTTTTAATTATTTATTTAACTTTATTTATTCATTCATTCATTTTTATTTAGACCAGAGAGAGACACAGAGAGAGAGAGAGAGAGAGAAGGTGAGAAAGCAAGCCACCAGGTCCAGGATTTGAACCGTGGTCAGCCATGTGGGAGCATCCAGCACCTTAACCACCACGCCACCCGCTGGTCCCCTTGTACATATTTTCTAATGACAAGAGTTTCTCTAGGTTAGAACTTCCTGACCTTTTTTCAGGTCATAGCATACATAAAATGATAAAATTTTTGGTACACTAGTAAACTGGAGGGTATTCAGGAGTATGTATGTGGGGCTTGGTGAAAAAGCTCATTACTTTTTCCTCATAATTATCACAAGAAAAATGAAATATTATAGAGTTAAAGATACTGTAAGATATTAAATTTGTATAATATAAAACTTCCAAATAAAACTTTTCCTGAAGTGTTTTTTTGTTTTTTTCCTGGAGAGGTTTTCGCTATAGGGCGCCTGCACTCACCAGAGAGACATAGAGACAGAAAGCCAGAAATCACCCTCCGGAGGGATGGTCACGCCGCAATCCCTTCTCCATTCTCCTCTCGGGATCTTGGGCATGCACGCACATGCGCCCAGCGTGAGTTTTAAGCCACCGGGTCCGGGACGCGAACTGAGGTTGACTACGTGGGAGTACAGCGACATAGCCATTACACTAACTGTTGGTTCCCATTTCCTGAAGTTTTGATGAAAAGCTTGACTGTCCTGGGGCCAGCAGATGGTGTGGTGGTTAAGGGCGCTGGATTCCCACATGGGTGACTACGGTTCAAGTCCTGAACCTGGTGGCTCGCTTTCTCACTTTCTCTCTCTCTCTCTCTGGTCAAATTAAAATTAAAAGTGTATAGGGAACCGATATCACGGTTCGCGTCCCAGACCCGGTGGCTTAAAACTCACGCCGGGCACGTGTGCATGCGTGCCCAAGATCCCGAGAGGAGAATAGAGGAGAAGGGATTGCGGCGTGACCATCCCACCTGGGGGGTGATTTCTCGCTTTCTGTCTCTATGTCTCTCTCTGTCTGTCTGGTGAGCGCACGTGCCCTGTAGCGAAAATCTCTCAAAAAAAAAAAATTAAAAGGGTATCAATAAATAAAGTTAAATAAAATAATTATTAAAAAAAAAAAGAAAAGAAAAGCTTGACTGTCCTTCTATGAGTTTTAATGAATGAAATGTTGATACTTCCTGGTCAAGACATTTTGAGGGTTATTCATTCATGATAGATATGATTGACAAGAAATTTTATTCAAGAATATATTTAAAAATTATGAAACTATTTCTACAATGATTCAAGGGTTGAAATTGTTTCTTTAGTTGACAGAGGCACTCACCAGGAGAGAGAGAGCGAGCTCCACAATGGCACATGGTCTCACTACAATACCTTCTGCTACATTTCTCCATCCTGTCAGAATTTGTGGCATGTGTACACATATGTGTGGTAAGTTTTTTAAGCCAGTAGGTCCAGGATTCAAACCATAGTCAGCCAGGTGGTATCTGGGTCACCTAACCACTAGAGCCATAAGGTCAGCCCCCAATTACAGTTTTAAAAAAATGAGTTTTTTTTTCTTTTTTTGGCTTAGGGTATGTGTGCTCACTGGAGAGAGGGAGAGACAGACACAGTGAGAGGGAAAGTGAGAAATCACACCCCTCAGGGGGAGATGGACAAACCACACTCCCTTTTCCTGTATTCTCCTCTCAGGATCTTGGGCATACATGCACTTGTACCCGGCATGATTTTCAAGCCACTGGGTCTGGGACTCAAACTGTGGTCAGCCGTGTGAGAATCCAATGGCATAACTGATATGCCGTCAGCTCATCCCACAGAATTTCTTTTTTAAAAATGTAGCACACATGGGAACCAGCAGTTAGCATAATGGCTATGTCGCTGGACTCCCACGTAGTCGACCGCGGTTTGCGTCCCGGACCCGGGGGCTTAAAACTCACGCAGGGCACGTGTGCGTGCGTGCCCAAGATCCCGAGAGGAGAATGGAGAAGAGATTACTGCGTGACCATCCCCCCGGGGGGTGATTTCTCACTTTCTGTCTCTATGTCTCTCTCTATCTGGCGAGCGCACGCGCTTTTTTTTTGAAAAACCCCAAAAAAAAAAAAAAAAAAAAAGGCTGTGTCGGCAGTAGAGAGGGAGAGTGAGCCCAGCGCCGCAGGCAGACTCGGAGGGAATGGAGGAAGCGGTCATGTCTCGCTACATGAGGCCCCCCAACACCTCTCTGTTCGTCAGGAACGTCGCGGACGCCACCAGGCCTGAGGACTTGTGCCGTGAGTTTGGTCGATATGGTCCTATAGTAGACGTTTACATTCCACTTGACTTCTACACTCGCCACCCAAGAGGATTTGCTTTTATGTTCAATTTGAAGATGTTGGAGATGCTGAAGGTGCTCTTTATAACCTCAAAAGAAAATGGGTATGTGGCCGTCAAATTGAAATACAGTTTGCACAAAGTGATCGCAAAACACCAGGGCAAATGAAATCAAAAGAGCGTCATCCTTGTTCTCCAAGTGATCATAGGAGATCAAGAAGCCCCAGCCAAAGGAGAACTCGAAATCGAAGTTCTTCATGGGGAAGAAACAGGCGGCCTTCTGACAGCCTTAAAGAGTCTCGACACAGGCGTTTTTCTTACAGCCAGTCTAAATCCCGTTCCAAATCACTACCAAGGCGGTCTACCTCAGCAAGGCAGTCAAGAACTCCAAGAAGGAATTCTGGTTCTAGGGGACGGTCAAGGTCCACATCCTTACAAAAAAGATCCAAGTCAATAGGAAAATCACAATCAAGTTCACCTCAAAAGCAGACTAGCTCAGGAACAAAATCAAGATCACATGGAAGACATTCTGACTCCAAAGCAAGATCCCCATGTAAATCTCCCAGAGGGTATACCAATTCTGAAACTAAAGCACAAACAGCAAAACATTCCCATTTTCGGGCACATTCCAGATCTCGGAGTTACCTTCATAAAAACAGTTGGTGAACACAACAGAAGAGCACTACGTAGTCTTTAATATAAGTTATTAAACCTCTCATTATGTTAAATAAAAATTCTTCAAGGCTTACCGAAAATGTGAGTTGATATTACTTTGGGTATGTAGAAGAAATAAAATCTCTCTAGCTTTGGATTGATTTGGATTTTGTCTCAATTTAAGGGCCCTCACCACAAATTCTGTGTCCAGTGTCACCATTTTATGGACCATTTTTGTTTACATTGTGACTGAAGAGTACTTTGCAAAGGAAATGGGTTACATTGAGTTAATCTAGGAAATTATACTTGGATATTAAGTACTAGTAATATTAATATCTTTCAAAAAATACTTTGACTTTGAAGCACTTTACTTTCATGTAAAAAGTAATTATGACTATTTAAGTGCATAGGGCAGGCTTAAACTGTTCAATACCTTTGGATCTTCTGTGTCTTCTGTTTAAACCTGGGCCAATTTCTGGTGGACATATGTTCATATTACAAAATCCCAACATCAAAAGAAGGAAATTTATATAAAGGATTCAAAAGATATATTCTCTCCACAGTTCAAAGAATTTCTTATTTTTATTTGAGAATAGATTAGATAAGTTGACATGAAATTGCAGTGTGTACTAGATTCACTTCATAAGTGTCAAAATGGCTTGGAAATACTGGATTTTGAATGTTTCAGGAGTACTTCTCTAAAAATTATGGTCTGCAACACTCACAATCCAAAAGCATTCATATTGAGCCTTACACATTTGAAGAGTGGTACATTTTATATAAAATCATTTTATACCATTATTTCTACATACCTGCTTTTCATCTGCTGCTTAGTTTTTTTAAGAGCTCTAGCTCAATACTAAATTATATAGACTAAGTCATATTATTTTTGAAAGTGTTTAGTATCTTGTATTAAGAAACTCAAGACTACATCTTCAACAACCAACTTTGGAGTATTTGAATTTTACATTATACTGCCCTTTTTTTAAAAAACCAAATAACTTTGTTGATGTTTATTACTTTTGTAGTTGTTTTAACTAAGAATTTCTTTTTAAATGTGTTTGTGATTTTTGTTTTTCAGAGGATTTTGGTAGTATTTGTGATAAAATGTTTTTGCATATGATTATTATAGGGGACTTATTTATAGAGCTTCACTTGTATACCTGGTTGAATTATATTAGTGAAACTTTAAAGTTATCAACCCATACAGTTAGTATTTAAAGTACTTAAGGAAAAAAACATGTATCTTAAGTTTTTAGTATATAGAAGCAGTGTTTCTTCTTTTTTGTTTTGAATACAAATTCCATTTTTCTTTGCATTTTAAAGCCTATATGTAAGAAACAACTTTACAAAATGATTTGTATGCTGGTAATATTTAGACCAGTACCCTAAATTCATGTATATTGTATGTTCTGAGTAGATTTTTCTCTAATAGCAAAATTTATTTCTTAACTACATCTCTTTGAAGTGTTCAGCTATAATAAAATTTAGTTATAAAAACAAAAAAAAAAAAGAAAAAATGTAGCACACATGAGTCAACTCTGTGTCTGGTTAAGGCATTTGGATCCATAGGGCCAACTACAGGGTTCAAGTCCCAAACTCGATGGCTTGAGAAACATGCTTGGCATGTGTGCATGTATATCCAAAATTCTCAAAGAAAGGAGAGATGGAGGAGAACAAATTGCAGCATGACCATTCCCCATGAGTAGTGGTTTTTCCTCCCCTCTCTCTCTTTTTCAAGGACACATGCCCTCAATACACACATACAAGTGTGCATACACACACACACAAACACACGTAGCAGGCATTCTTTTTCTTTCATTGACAAACAATTTTAAAATTTCTTATAATGAATAAAGTAGGTTTAGGGGCCAGCAGGTAGTTATGGCACTGGATCGCACATGACTCACTCTGTGGTTTGAGTGTATCCAGCGGCTTGAAAAACATGTCAGGCGAATGTGTATGCAAGCCCAAAATCCTGAGAGAATGAAGAGATTGTAGCATGGTCATTCCCCTGGGGGATAATTTCTCACTTTCCCTTTCTTTCTCTCTCTGTCTCTCTCCAGTGACCACACACGTGCCTTATGGCAAAAATCTTTTTTTTTTTGGAGAGGTTTTCGCTATAGGGCATGTGCGCTCGCCAGACAGAGAGAGACATAGAGACAGAAAGCGAGAAATCACCCCCCAGGGGGGATGGTCACACCGCAATCCCTTCTCCTCCATTCTCCTCTCGGGATCTTGGGCACGCATGCACACGCGGCTGGCGTGAGTTTTAAGCCACCGGGTCCGGGACGCGAACCGCGGTCGACTACGTGGGAGTCCAGCGACATAGCCATTACGCTAACTGCTGGTTCCCATGGCAAAAATCTTTTAAAAAAATAGGTTTTACATTTCAGTTGTGCAGATAATACAGAATTCTAATATACTGCATAACCAGCTTCTCTTATGATTAACATTTTATATTAATATGGTATCTTGATTAACATTTTATATTAATATGGTATCTTGGTCATAATTGGTGAACAAATACTGATACCTTATCATTTCCTAAAGTATAATTTCTATTAAAATTTTCTTGGTTTGTACTTAATGTTCTTTTTCGGGTCCCAGGCATTATACAATATCATATTAAGTTGTTATGTCTCTTTGGGCTCCTCTTGGTTCTGACAGTTTCTTTGACTTTCCTTGTTTTTAATAACCTTGACACTTTTGAGTACTGGTCAGTTTTTTTAGAATAATCCTCAAATGGGAGTTGCTATGCTTTTCTCAGGAAAAACTAGGGATATGGGATTTTGAGAGGAAGACCACAGGGATTAAGTGCCATTCTCCTTACATCATGTCAAGGGTTCATACTACTATTATTTTCTTTTTTTGTTAAAGGATTATCTTATTTAATTTTATTTATTATTATTTTTTCTCTCTTTTCTTTTTTTGTAGAGGTTTTAAACTTAGGGCGTTGTATGCTGGTCTGAGAGAGACAGAGACAGTGAGAGGAAAAGTGAAAAATCACCCCCAAGGGGAATGGCCATACCGTAATCCCTTCTCTTCCATTCTTCTCCCAGGATCTTGGGCCCATGTGCACATGTGCCTGATGTGAGTTTCAAGTCACCGGGTCTGAGACTCAAACCACAGTTGGTCATGTGGGAGACCAGCAACTCTATGCCATCTGTTGGCCCCATTATTATTTTTTTAAAAAAAGAATTATTTTATTTGACTTTATTTATTTTAATTTCACAAGAGTGGGACAGAGTTAGAGAGAGAGCTAGGGAAAGTGAGAAAGTAAGCCACCAGGTCAGGGACTCAAACCATGATCGTCCATGTGGGAGTCCAGCACCCTTAACCATCATGCCACTTGCTGACCTTATTATTATTATTATTTAAAATTTGACCAGAGATGGAGAAAGAGAAAGTGAGAAGGCAAGTCACCAAGTCCAGGACTTGAACTGAAATTGGCTATGTGGAAACTTAACCACCAAGCCACCTGCAGGCCCCTTTTTATTAGGTTTTTAATGTTTTTGTCATAGAATGTGTGTGCTCATCAGAGGCAGAGAGCATAAGTCTCAAACTGCTGGGTCTGGGACTCAAATTATGATTGGCCACATGGGAGTCCAGTGTCCCACTCACCATTCCACCTACTGGCCTCAGGTTTATCATACATCATTAGAACCTGGGAGGTGATGAAAAATGGTCTCATGACAGCCTCCCTAATAGAGAAATGAGAGACAGACTTTTAGAAGCTGCACACAAACATCCTAGGTTTTTTGTTTGTTTGTTTGTTTTTTTAACCTCCCAGGCTTTTTAAATAAAGTCATTTAATCTAGTTTTCTGGCATATCTTGTAATTCTTGAGTGAATGTCAGGCATTGTGTTAATCTTCCCTTTTATTAACTTATGCTTATTCTTTTATTTCCCTTGGGTTTATTTTCCTTTCTTTTTAAAAAAGAATTAATTTTATTTATTTTTATTTTTAATGTCAGGCATTGTGTTAATCTTCCCTTTTATTAACTTATGCTTATTCTTTTATTTCCCTTGGGTTTATTTTCCTTTCTTTTTAAAAAAGAATTAATTTTATTTATTATTATTTTTAAAATTTGCTATAGGGGATGTGTGCTTACCACAGAGAGACAGATAGATAAAGAGAGAAGAAAAGTGAGAAAGCAAGCCACCAGGTTTGGGACTCAAACTGTAGTCAGCCATGTAGAAGTCCAGTGCCTTACCCTCCATGCCACTTGCTGGCCCCTCCTTGGGTTAATGTTATGTTCCATTTCAAGAAATTATTTAGGTCAACTTATTGCCAGTCTTTTTCATTTTTTTTTTACTTTGTAATTGCTAGAGGCATGTATACTCACCACAGAGAGACAGAGAGAGGAGAAGAAAGCATAGCCCAATGGAGCATGGTCATACTACAATCTTTTCTCCTTCATTTCTCCGCTTTTGGGCTTGCACACACACATGCTTGGGGTTTTTAAAACTTCCAGGTCTGCATGTTAGGCCATGTGGGGTCTAGTTCTCTTAACCATCGGGCCATGGGGCTGGCCCTATATTGTTCCTTTTTCTCCTTTTTCATGTCTTTTTGTTTAATTGTCAAAGGGAGTATACACTCATGCACGTGAGAGAGAGAAGGAGAAAGAGAAAGCACTCACCAATGGGACATGCTCAATCCTGCCATACTACTACGATTTCTTTTATTACATTTGTACATCCCATCAGGACTTTGGGCAATCTCATTCTTTCTCTAACACACACACACACACACACACACACACACACACACACACAGAGTTGTCCAGCATGTTTTTCAAATTACGGTGGCTAATTTGCTATGTGAGACCTTACTCCCTATGCATAGGCTTAACCATTGTGCTATTGGGTTATCCCTAAAAATATTATATAATATATATATATTTTTTTTTTTTGGAAAGATTTTTGTTATAGGGATCATGCACTTGCCAGAGAGAGACAGACAGAGAGTGGGAAATCACCCCTCAGTGGAGATAGCCACACTGCAATCCCTTCTTCGTTCTCCTTTCAGGATTTTGGGAACACACGCACATGTGCCTGGCATGGGTTTTAAGCTGTTGGGTCCGAGACTCGAACTGTGGTCAACTACGTGGGAATTCAGAAGTGTAACCATGACACCATCTGTTGGTTCTAAAATCTTTTATCTTTAATCATTCTTTTTGTTTGCTTTTTGGATCAATTTCTGAGATAGAGAAGGTAAAAATGTCCCATTACACTTGAGGAATACTGTAGTTTTGTGTAATACATTGAAGCCATATCATTAGGTACAAAC